GATAGGCTGCCTAAATTGAAATCAAATCTCAAGAAAAGTGGTTTAGAAATTGCTTTTTGTGATGTTTTTGGTGTCTTAAAGAAGATGATTGCTTCAAGTTTTTGATGTTAAAGGTAGTTCTGTAAAGTACTGAATGATAGCAGGTAATTTTATTTATACTCACTGCTTCTGTGCTAAAGGAGAAGCTAAAGATAAAGGATGGATGGATGGATGGATGGATGGATGGATGGATGGATGGTTTTAATTCTTCCAAAATTGTGACCCTGTTGAAAAATGTCTCTTTGTCTTTCATCTTTAAGCACTTTCCATTTATTTCCAAACGCCGGAGTAAAAAGAATAGTTTTAAACAAATAATTTCCTGAWAAGTTTTACTCTTCCAAACAAAGACCACTTGTCTGGAGTTCAGATCCAAAAAACTTCAGATGAACAGCCCTTGAAAGATATTTGAACACGTGGAGGGACAGGAGGGCCTTGTTGACAGGGATTAAGTTTACTAGGCCCACATGATGAAAAATACTCACATTTAAGTGTACACAGCACGAACGTCAGAATAAATCCTTAAAACTTTTATTTGACCAGGTGGGTCAGCTGTGAAACAGTTCACGTTTAGAAACGAAGGGCACTGCCAAAAAAAAAAAGCTACTGCAAAGTCAACAGACGAGCTGCAGAGCGGCCCAGTGATCAGATTTAATATGAAACAGAGGGGAAGCGCTCTGCTGAGCAGTGGGCCTCCCATCTTTGGGCCCAATCACGCTGCGTACACAAGTGAAAAATTATCTTAGCGGGCCGTTTGGTGGATTTGCTCTGAAATGCGGAGGGCCATTTTGATCAAAYTGTCTGTGACTCATTTCTAGGAAGGGGGGAAAAAGTATAAAAATCTGGCAGACTGAGAAAAGTGGCAGAGGAAAGGCAATCTTAAAAAAGAACTAAATTTCCATCTTCAAGCTGCTGTTGAGAAAAATCAAAGAAAAGCTGCAAATCCTGAAAGAAGACGACGGTGAAGGATGAAATTAATCAGCRGGTTCAACTGGAGGCAGGATTCTCATCAGGAAGATTTTTTAAAAGGTTTGTTTGAAACTCATTTGTGCTAGTTGACCAAATTTATAAGAAACTTCTTAAATGAATGCATATCACCYATCATTTTTTATGAGTTTAAAGTGCCTGAAACAGTAAGAAAACACCTCAGTATTTAATAAACATKGCATAATACACATAATTTTATCCATTTTGTCACATAACTGTCATATTTTCTTCAGTCAAAGTGAAACAGGAAGTGACATCAAAGGGGAACTCTTTAAGAAAAGAAACTGTTTATTGAACCAATATTATTTGAACTCGGACTCTTCTTCATCTCTGATAGTGACTCAAATAATTTAAAGAAACATCAGGTTCTTCTCTAAAGTCTGCGTTGTCGGCCATTGTAGTGAAGCATTGTTGACATGCAGACATTCCCCTTTGACATCACTTCCTGTTACTTCACATGTCAATATCTCAACAACTGTTCATTTCAACAATGTGAATTYCATTTATGTTTATTTTTTGCAATATRTTATCTTTGCAAAAATGCATTCCAAAATTATGACCTTACAAATTATTACAAAACTTTGATGTCACAGGTACTTTAAAGTTGAGCTCTTAAATGTTAGAGTTGTAATATTTATTTATTTCCCCCAAACTTTAAAAATACTGTTAGTCTCAGTCTGTTAGCACTCAGAATTTGAGGTGTACTGTAGATCACTCTCAGCTACTACCACACCAGACGTTAGCTCAAAGTCTGTCAAGAGGCTCTCAAACTGGGGTCCCAGGAMCCCCAAGGGTCCACAAGCCCTATCTTGGGGGTCCTCAAAAAAATTTCAATAAATGTTTTTTTAGGATTTTATTTGAGAAATGAACAGGAGGAACAATGCACTAGTAAAACAAACATACTAAACCAAACAAAAACATAATATTCTCATAATATTTAGCAAGGGATTTATGAGGGGGTCCCTGGAAATTTTTCACTCTTGTAAGGGGTCCTCAGATACAAAAAGTTTGAAAAACCCTGGACTAAATTATAGTACTTTATGTAGACTGAGCCTGATTTGCTGCGGCAATCATACTAATTAACTCCACTACTTGTAGGTCCAACGAAGATGTTCTGCAAGTTCCATTAAAAYACAAAGAATGTGATTTTTTTGCTGACTCTGACAAACAAATGCACAAGAGCAAAACCATTATTGCCCCGTCTTTGTCGGTGGGCGATAAAGAGATGTTTCAGGGAGTGATCATTCCAGTATGTGGAAGGAGGTGGACAGGGAAACAGAGCTCGCCRTGTTCAAAACGTGTGAAATATCCAGAGTTAATGTGAAAGTGTAATTTTACTGAAACATACCTGCAACAACACAGATCTCTGGCTCTCTCCTGCTGTTCGCTGCCCCAGACAGGGAGGAAATCATTTTCAGTTCATCCCCACCACGCTGAATTCTTGCTTTCAAATCCACATGTACCTGTCTCTCTGGTTAACCCCCACCTTTCACAGCCAGAGCACACACACACAAACACACACACATAACCTTTCCACGGTTGAATGCATACAGGAATGTGTGGGGAATGACACAAGCCAGAAAAAAAAAAAGGATCTGGTCTGCTCTCTGCCTAAAAGCAGTCTTTATGAGCGGGCCATTCAGACCCACCGGACAAAGCTGAGGCGAGATTTGTACTATATGAGGGGTCAAAGGTCGCCCAAAGCACTGACAGAAGTAGAAACCAGAGATGAATGCCCGTCTGTCTTTTAGCCCCCAAAACAGATTTGCTCCAACAGGGAAAATTCATGCAACACTGTGACTTAGAGGAGAAGGAAAAAAAACACTTCCTGTAACATTTACTCATCATTATTTATCTCTTCTCACACAGGTCAATAGTTTACGGGCCATACGGGAGTAACAGAACAAGAGGAATGATTCGGAAACACGGAAATAATCAAAGCACATTAATCAGTGAACCTAAACACATTTAGCAACCCTATCGGCTGAGTTTTAGAAGAAAAAAAGACAGAAAGAAAGAAGGGAGAGGGAAACAAAGTGTGCGCATGTGTGTGAGGAAGAGTTTAAGCTTGCTGCGCTATAAGCTGCTCTCAGCCCACGGCACAAGAAAAGAAAAGAACATCTCTTCATGATTAAAAGCACCGAGGACCAGGAAGGAAAACCGAGCGAGGAGGACAAGCTCGGAGGCCTCGGGGGTGAAGGTTCTCTGCAGAAACAAACCAAAGGCTTCAAGAAAGTTAAGCTGGGGCATGCACAGGGAGTGAAAGTCAACTCCAGACTTTACCGTCTCCTTTTTTTAAAATCATAAAAGGAAAAAAAAGACAGGATAGATGAGAAACAGATTTGAGCTGCAAAGAAACCAGAAAAAAATGGACATTTTATTTCATTGATCTCAAACAGTTCTGACAGGATTATATTTACCCAAACATAAAACCCAACCACAAACATGTATTTTGTTTGTGTTTACCAGCAGTGGAAGAAAAGCACATTAGAGAGCACAGCAGCCCAGAAAAACCCAGAAACATCAGCAGGGTTTGACAAAGTAGCTCCTTTAATCGTCTGCTGCTTTTTTTCCCCTTGAATTCAGGTCAGAGGTATCATGGGTCACTGGAACAAGCCTGTTACCAGACCGGAGACAGGTAATTCATGGAGTTTTTTCACTTTGGGTCCACAGGGACCCCCATGAAACCTCCATACGATAACATCCAAGTCCATTTTTGCCGTTTTTACACCTCACTTGCTGTGAGAATGACTTTCTAACAGGCTGAACATCTGCAGAGACCGAAGGACATGTTAATAACCCAAGAAATAATGTCTCAGATTGCAAATACTGGTGTGCAGGTTAATTGCACACACAGTGATGAACATTTTATGACATTTTAAACCTACTTCTCCAAGACCACATTTTTATAATCTTTAAGGAAATTTGGAATTTTAAGTTGCAAGTGACTTTTTATTCAACAAATAAAACACATGGTCTTCAGCGTTATTTCACTTTTAAAAACWGTTTTATTTTTAAGCCTCTCAAAAACAGAAATATATGAAAAATAACCAGTACAACTCTCGCTTAAACCTTTTATTTTATCCCTTCATCCTGTTTATTTGGTAAACTGTTTACAACCTTTTTTAAAAAAATGTCAAACTATTTTTTCTTAAAATATTTAGAATTTGTAACTCGCAACACGAATTGAGAAAAAATTTGCAGAGGCGGGTTGGTCTCGGTTTCGTGTTGCACAAGCTGCTCATTTCAGGAGGCGAAACCTCTTCTTTGCACCAGGTAGATTATTCACCTGGTGCTAAGAAGTCAGATGTCAAAAGGTCGTTCCAACCCTTCAACAGATGCAGCTCAAGGAGGCTGCAGCAGGTTTAGGGGATTAAACAGTGGTATTAGTGCTCGGCTCACTAACATTGTTTGCATTCCACACAAATCAAAAGAGACAACCTGGGTGTTAGCCTGCTAGCTAGCTTTGCAGAAGCATTGATACCAAACAGTTAAAAGCATTGTAAGTAGTTTTGGGACAATTGTGACAACATTTTGATAAAGTTTCAAGTATGTATTAAAACAAAAATGTAAAAGGCGGTTGCACGTATTACAGATTCTCAAAGCTAAGCTTCACAGCTGATAGGTAACAACAGCGATGYRGTTTTCTTAACTAAACWTAACWTTTTTTTTCAATTCATTGCTTTACTGAAGTGTTTTATCAGCATGGGAAGACTAAGTAACACAATTTAAAAGAAAATAAAGGGCACTTTTCTGCTAATTAAACAGCAGCCCAAAAGTACTGTTAGCTTTTCMCGCTAAACCAAATGAGTAATGCTACAATGTGTTAGCCGATGATAGCTTTGCATTATTGTCCATGCAAAATAAAAAATACTTTGTGTCATTTGAAACAGAAACACTTGCCTGCTTACTACATACCAGAGAACAATCAAAATGCACTTAAAATTTACTGTAACCTCAAAATGAAACAGACAGCATCACACCGAGACTTCTGCTTTATAAAATTGGCATTAAAGAACACTTTGACAAATACATGGCACTGGAAGATGGAAATACAGAAACAAGAATAAGAWAAAGTACATTATCACTTATTTTAAKAAAAAACAAGTTTTGAGGCCAGATCTTATTCATTGAGTTGAAAACCAATTATACAGTGTTCTCTGGTCTCTGAGTCCACTCGGTTCTGGTTCTGGATGATTATAGCATAACTGAGCTGCCGGGCAGAAAYATCCAACAAAAACACAGCTGAAGAAAAAACTGATGGAATCACAGAAGATTACAATTCACTCTGAAATGACGAAAGTGCCGAAATGTCTCTGTGCCTTATTTGTTCTCAGACATTTCTGAGCTGTCAGAGCCAGACTGAGGAAGATGAGGAGCCTGATTAGGGCAGGTACAGAACTCCTTCAAGTCTGTACTACACGTCACACCTGAGTTAAGAGGAGGTACTTTTAAAATATAATGAAACAAAAGAAGTCCCAAAGTTAAAATGTTAAATTTTAACATAAAAAWGATGATCCAGGATTAATGAAAAGACACATTTCTCTTTTCTAATTACAACACATACTGTATATCAAAATGACAAATCTTACATTAGCATTTTCTTTTCTTTCCTTTGGTTAAAGGTTAGACATTTTTTTAAAACAAGTAAGTAAATGATCAATTTCAGATTGAGAAGAAACTTTAGAAATAGTGTAAACTCTGGTCTGTCACTCCTCGTGGTTTGGCAGATGTTTCGGCTCCTATTCTTGGTCGATGTAAAAATACTGAAAGTGTAAAAATGACTGCATGACTTTATCACCTGGTCACTCCGGGTGACAGGTTCCAGCCAGTTTCTTGACAAGTTTCATCAGTCATTCTTACTGGCTGATTTCTCCCCCCCTCCTCTTCTTCCTGGTAATGAATACATTCTCCCTTCTTCCTCGGAGTCCGTGTACAAAGTGGGTCACAGGAAAAGATCCAGACTGCTTTTGGACACACTTGCACACCTGTGTGCTCTATTCACATCCAGGATAGAAGGCAGAGCAGCTAGAAAGTCACAGTTGCAGTGCCCTTATTTTGAAAGGTCATTGTCTGGATGCTGGAAAGGATTTTTCTCTGATGCCCAGCTAAAGTCACTCCCATGTGAAGCAGATCTCTGGGATGAGGGGAAACAAGAAATCATTAATTAAAAAGGAATGTGGACCTTTTTTCTAAATGTAAAAAACTAAAACAAGCTACAAGGCAGAAGCTGTAAATTAAAAAAAGTAAGACAGTTATAATTTTAGATAAGTAAAACAGGAACTGGAACTGACTGTGCCGTGATTTGGGCCAGCTGATCCATGGAGTTGAAGCCCGCCTGCAGGAAGCTGTCCTCATAGCGCTCCATCTTGATGGCCCTCAGCCATTCCCCGATTGAAGAGCATGGCGAGAGGGCTAAAGGTGCACGCTGGTCCAGCAGGGGGTAGGACGGCCTGGGGGACAGAGTTCACAAACAAAGCAGAAGCTTACATTCACCGTCACCAAAACAGCAGTGAGCAGCTCATACGTATCCTCCAGCAACATTCCAGCTGAAGAGCGGAAATACAATCTGAGGCTGAGTGACTGACGGGGACAAACAAAGGGATTTGTCAGGGGCGGAGTGACTTCAGCTGCATGCAACCAGCTGACAGACAGAATGCGAGTGAAGGGAAATGGGCACAGCAAGCGGCTGACAGGTCACAGCAGGACTCTGAGGTAGTTTCTCAGAGTGGGCAGTAGGGGGTTAATGTCTGCACTGTGACAGTCAGAACTTTGAATGGACCTAAAGAAAGAGACATTAAAGCCCATTTCAACAGGGAGCACAAATATTGCTGGCATCATCTTTGAGTTAACAGGACCATCTGTCACACTGACACAATGATATAGATCACTTTGTCAGTAATGATGCTGATGCTGTCATTAAGACATACCAACTACAGTGCAGGACAAAGCTGTAATAGAAATGCATATGTTAAAAACAGACGACACGAAAAGTGACTAATTATGTTTGAATCTTAGTACTACAACACGAGTCACTTCAATCATAGCAGAGCTGCACAGGATCAACTGAAGATGCTTCTTTTCGACATTTAGCTTGGGTTAAAGGGATGGTTTGATTCGTTTGAAAAGTTATAAGCAATATCTTAACTACTGTAGATAACTCAGAGTTTAATTTTGGTTAGACTGATAAACTAAAGGCTAGTCTAAGACGGGATTACTGTGGACTTTGAATAGTACCAACCTCTAAAATGTCACTTTTACATTGTTGATAATTTCCCATGACAGAGAGGTGCCCCAGGCTTTGTCAGAAGTGCTACAGTAGCTTTGCTTTACAAAAACAAAACCCCCAAATAATCCTACTGAGTAATGTGAAATTGTATCAAGATGGCAGCAATCCGCTTTGAATGTGGCCCAGTTTCAACAAGACAGGAATTCATCAATCTGATCGGAATTAAACCATTTCTCCAAATGGAAGTCAATCAAAAAGCTTTAATGTTCATAACCTCTCTATGGAAATCCACTTCCAAAATATCTGAACTGCCTCTTTAATGTGGTATAAATGACTCTAATTGGTGTTTGACTCAGTAATTTTTGGCTTTCATAGTAAGAAATTAACTTGCCATAAATGTATTAATGTCAACAAGGAGAGGATGCAGCATGATCATAAATGAGACCAAAACACCATTAGAAGCTTTTAACGTGGTTTAAATGCATCTGATTTGTTTTCAGCTGTCAGGAAAAAACAACATGACTGCAACACATCCATTACAGGATAAACAAAAGGATGGTCTGAATTAGACTGTTATGTGATCTCTGATATCAGACATGCTACCAAAACATATTAAGATCTGGATTTATTAAAGTGGTATGTGACCTAATAACATTAAAATCCAGAGAATTCACATTTTCTGCAAAAATACAGTGTGAATGCTTAATGATACATTTTTTGCTGAATAGCTAAAAAAGCTGTTCTAGCCTAAAAAAGCAACAAAAAGTAGCTGAAATTAGTCTAAAGAAACAAAAAAGAATGACGGCTAAATAAAATTATCACAAAAAGGTGAATTTAGGGTCAAATTAGATAAAGTAATAAGCACAATAAACAACTGAAAATAGTAAAAAGCAGCTCAAAGAAGCATGAAAAGCTTAACAGCAGAAATAAGATGAAAGATGCACAAACAAGTTGAATTTAAAAGAATAGAAAAAAAGGGTGAAAAAACTAAAATCAGCAAAATAGTAGCCGAAGCAAGCTAACGTTAGCACAAAGAAGTAAAAGAAAAAACAAAACCAGAACAAAAGGTAAAAATTACAAGGGTTTTAAGGATGCTGAAGACGGCTCCATTCATTTACAATAAGAAAAACATGGATGAAAAATCAAAAAATCTCAAAAAGTATAAATTTCCAAAGTACCAAACGTCATAACCGAAATGTTTTGAAGGAGTTGAACTTTTTGAAAAATAAAAAGTTGAAATAGCACGAAAATTGCAGAACAAGTTATGTGCCAAATATGCACAAAAGAAAAATGGGTCTTAGTGGTGTAAGACTATGAAAGAATGGACATGATGCCGTTTTTTTTTTCCTTTGAGGGTTTCTAAATTTAAATTATTTCACTCTTACCCTCCTCCTTCTTGAGCAACTATTTTTAGCGACGCAGGGTTGCGTATGAGTTTGTCCAGAGCGCTAACAAGGTCCGCGAAGCGAGGACGAGCCGAGCGGTCCTTCTGCCAGCAGTCCAACATCAGCTGGTGTAGGTGGGTGGGGCAGTCGGGTGGCGGGGGAAGCCGGTAGTCTTGTTCTATGGCATTGATTACCTGACAGGGAGACAAATGATTGCTGCTCAAACAAGTGTTCAACATACCTGGATCAATGTTTTCTTGTTAGGAATTTGGTCAGGGTGCAAACAAGGGGAAAACATAATAATCACAGAATCCAAATTAAGTCATTTTACAATTTAAAGTAATATTTAACTATTAAATGAGTGACTTATGCAGTTCAGAGACTGTTTAATGTGTTAAATTAGGGATAAAAATGTTTAAACTCACATCCTGGTTGCTCATATCCCAGTAGGGTCTTTCTCCAAAAGACATGACCTCCCACATAACGATGCCATAGCTCCACACGTCTGAGGCTGAAGTAAACTTTCTGAAGGCTATCGCCTCCGGTGCTGTCCAGCGGATAGGAATCTTACCTCCCTGCACGGAAAAAGTAAGMGTTGGCTACTGTGAAACGTCACGTCATGGCAGATTTTTACAAAGCATTAAATAGCATTTTGACGAATGTCATCTGAGGACATTCGGCCGTCTCACCAGGGAACTGGTGTACGTCGGGTCAGAGGAGTTCTCCTGTAAGAAGCGCGACAAGCCGAAGTCCGAAACCTTGCACACCAGGTTGCTGTTGATCAGGATGTTGCGGGCAGCCAGGTCTCTGTGGACGTAGCTCATCTCTGCCAGGTACTTCATGCCCGAGGCGATGCCGCGCAACATCCCCACCAGCTGGATGGGAGTGAACTGGCTGTCATTCAGCTACAGAGAGCAGAGCAGAGAGGAAGAAAAAAAATCAGCTGGAGAATAAATGACAACACTGTGTCTCATACAGTTGACAGTTCATGTACTTCGTGTCAAACTGACCCGCAGAAACGAGTCCAGCGCTCCGTTCTCCATAAACTCGGTGAGGATCATGACTGGACAGCTGGCAGTGATGATTCCCTCAAGATGGATGATGTTGGGGTGCTGGAACTGGCCCATGATGGATGCCTCRGACAGAAAGTCCCTCCTCTGCTTGTCCGTGTAGCCTCCTTTCAGGGTCTTAATTGCTACGTAGTTTTCTTTTTTCCCGGGGATTTTCAGCCGTCCTCGACAGACCTCCCCGAACTCGCCTGCAGCGCCGCAGACACACAAACGCACGTTAGAGCTGCTTTCTGCCACATTAAGAGCATGGCTCTTGTATTTAACGAATGTAAAGTTTGCTTGAAGCAAGCGCTGCCCTTTTTGTTTAAAGGAAGCACAATACTGTTGGTAACGTATTTATCAGTTAATTGCTTTATTTCTGTGACTGTATTGAATTTAGTCTGATAAAGAAAAGTCCACACAAGGGTTCAAATGACTGAATCAATTTAAATGAATAAATTAGATATAAACTAAAATGTTCTTTCTAAATAGAACATTCCCAATGAAAAATGGGGGAGGGGAAAAGAGCGGCCTATACGAAGTTCACAGATTTATATTAGTGGGAAAAGCTTGTGGGTGGGGCGTACCGGCACCGATAACCTCCTCTATCTTGACAAAGGAAACATCAATTTCCTTGGCAAATTCTCGCACTGCCTCATTAGGGTCCTCATAGGTGAAAGGGTCGATATAAACCTTGACCCCTGGGAGAGAGAGAGACAAACAGAGTCGTGGGAAAGGACAGAAAAGAAACGTTAGAGAACTGTGAGCAGCAAAAGGACCGGCGCCATTAGAAAAGATTTTTCCTGATGTGACCAGGCTGTAAATGAGCTGAGGTACTGTGTGCAGGGCCTTGATGCGTTACCTTGTCCAGCAAAGTACTGGTTGTTTTTGTCACTCAGCTCTGGATCTTTTATTCGGCTGTGTCGTCTGCAGGCAGAAACAGGTGAATGYGACAGGATTAAGGACACAATGAAGATTTAACTATTTTACAAGTTTATTAAAATCTTTACCAATCCATTGAGACGAACATCTAATATGTGATTATTAGGATGATACAAACACAAAAGCTTAAAACATAAAAAATAAACTTTTTTCCCCCCAATTTTTTTAATGTTTTGAAAATGATTCACCGAAGGGTCGTAAAATATTGTAACTAATTGACAAATCTGTGAAATACTTCACTAACCACAACCCCCTAAGAGTCGTAAAGTGATAAAATGTTTTGAAGGTCGCTCTCTGTTTAAAATACACCCCCATAAATTCGGTTTGGTATATTTTTCTGCCACGAAAACTGCCTCGTTTGGGGAGACTTTTGCTGGCCCTAAACAATCCTCGGAAATCTTCCGAAAACACAATACTAGATGACTTGTAACGGTGAACATCYGAGCCAACCCCTGCGGGTCCTGCTCTTTGACACAAGCGGCTCCATTATAATTCTGCTGGCGCAAACTCATCCCTTACAAGCCTGTAACAAGCCTGTAGCTACTGGATCGCTGCCTTCCTCCATTCCTTACCCTCTCCCACTTCATAAGCCTAAAATAGCAGTGAGCACCACCCTCAGTTAGTGGCAGATCTGGGCCTCGGTGGCTGGCTCTGGTGAGTGTGTGTGTGTGTGTGTGTGTGTGTGTGCCACAAGGTCACAGCTATTGTTCTCCTGTCCTGTGGAAACAGGGTTGGGACGCCTGCATCCTGTCTTTCCCTGCCCTCTACCTCTATCGTCATCTCTCTCTTATCCCAGTGCAGGCACTTTCTCTCTTTCCCGCAGCCGTGATGGCATTCAGCACTATTTACTCAAACAATGAAGCCTCGGGAAAACGTTCTAATGAGCAGAATAGCTTTTAGCTGTGTAAGCGAAAGCCATCATGTRCGTCGCTTTGTCTGAGCTGCTTCACAGAGCGGGTTGAGGTGCGGAAAAATGGTGCAAATCCATCGTTGATAAGATACGACACGCATAAACAAAAGAACAAAGTGGTGCAAAATGGTAAAATTGGGGTCATGGTTGTTATTGGTTTTCGATTTCCCCTCTTTTCTTCCACGTATCCTGTTGTTTAGTCAGCTTCTTTCCCTTGCAAGTCTATCTTCTTCGCTGCCTCTTTTCCTTTTCCCTTGTTCTCACCGTATGCAGTAGGCGGCCACGAAGACGAAAGTGACAAGCAGCAGCATCCCAACAGCGATAAGGATACCAGGTACCAAGAACTGGGAGGCAGAGTCATATCCTGAAAGCCAAAAGAAGAAATTAAAATAAAATGGATGCAAAAGCCAAAATGGAGAAAAGTGCAAGAAGAAAAAAAAAGAAAGATTACAAGAATTTATTTTTTCAACAGGGGCTCAGTACAAGGACACTGCCTCACAGTCAATGAACTCATAACAAAAACTGTGCCTGATAAGAATGTTTAAAAAATCCTGGGAACAAAACAGGGAGTTCCAAGCGTGAGACTTTTCGTCAAGAGCAAACAAGAACATTTTACCATCAGGCAGGGTGCGGAAGACAGCTGCAGAACTGAAGCTGCCATAACCAGCCAGGGTGCGCGCCCGGACCTGCACTTCGTACTGAGTGGCCCTGCGGAGGTCTGTCAGCACCACTTCGTTTCTTTTACTCTCTGTGTACAAGCACTGATTTTCACTCTGTCTCTCCTGCCAAAGCAAACACACACACACACACACACAAAAGACTGAACTCCACATACAGCTGGAGAAAAAAAAAGGTAACACACAGATGTAATAATATCTGTGCTCAAAGTAATCTCAATGTTTACATTAGAAAAATGTCTGGGAAGGGGCATATCRTGCAAAATCCACTTTTTAGCCATTCAATGCATTTTCTTGTGTACCTGGAGTCTCTAGGAGTGCAGAAAGTCTGAATTTAGTCTGTCCAGGTGCTGCGTTTGGGTCATATTTTTCAAGCCGTTCAGTTTTCTCTCTTTTAAATGATGTTTTCTTGCAAGGGAACTGCTAAATAACATCTGGACTTAACAACAATTTGGTCGTCTTCGTTTTTCTCTGGCTCTGGGTCAGACTATGRCTCAAACATGTAAGCCTGGACGGACGAGTCTTGTGTTGTTGGCATATTTTAATTAACTTGTAACTAAAACATGTCTGAGCCAGTATGTAGTTGTAAACCCCTCTATCAATCTACAACCACTCTGGAAGCTGGAGGGGAGATGGGGTGGGAAGCACCTCGTTTTGATTTAAAGGAGACAGCATTCTCAAAGTCGAACAGCCGGGTACTTTGTCACGTGACCATGTTGTAGACAAAGGCTGACATTTTGGTTTGGGGGGAAAATAGGATGAGTTCCTCTATGTGGAAAACAGGAAAGATAGTGAAAAGTTGCGGTAGGACTGCACTTCTCATGTAAAAAAACATCCAGAGATAAATTTTTTTTTTTTTTCTAACTGCAAGAGTGAGGGGAGAGAAATATGACGTGTTGTTGTTCTGCCCCTGCAGACCCCCGTGCTTGTCCTTGTTTAAAAAKAATTGCCTCATTGTTTTGATTTAAAACATACTAAAATTGGCTGAAATGAAGAGTAAAAGAGTAAACACACAAAACTACACACTAACTATAAAATCCAAACATGTTAAAAGTCACAGATCTAATTAATAAAGTCCTGCTCTCACTGGCTCTTCATTGTCACCAATCTCCATTCAAATTTCGCCTCTTTTTATTTTCTTCTTCCTGTAGATTTTTTACTGCTTGTCAGATAACTCTGAGCCTCAGTCAAAAAGGAGGTCTGGGGGATTTATATTTTTTCGGTTTACGAGAAAGATGAGACTGATGATGGACAGCAGTTTTTTTTCCACGAGATTACCGTGTTTCCTGCTCCCTTCAGCTGCAGTTTTCCCCCTTAAAAAATTGGAGGTTGAAATCACGTGACTGAATGACATCACGCAGAAAAGGAGTGAAAGAGTTGTGGAGCTACAATAAGGAGGAATTCAGACCAAAGCATTGCAGTTCCACTTTATATACACCCCCAACTGAATGATTTAAAAGTGAAAAGTAAGGATTTAAAAGCGATATGTCTACTTTAAAGCCTTTGTTTGACTGAAGACAACATGAACTCTGAGCATCAGTAAAAGGTGTTGTAGTTACCTTCTCACAGTAGCGTAGCTGATACTGCAGGATGTTGTAATGCGGCTGAGCAGGGACTAACCATTGCAGAGTCAGGCTGCTTTCTGTGGACTCGCTCTTCCAAATCACAGACACCAGCGACGGCACTGCACAGATGGCAGCAGATTTATTAAACTCACATGAAACCAGCGGCTGTTTACACCTCCATCACTGCGCCGCTCACCTTCATGGCTGGTGGTGATGTTGATGCTTTCACTGGCAGGCTCCTTGTTGCTGAGCGAAGACACGCCGTTCAGTGCCTGGACCGTGAAGGTGTATGTGGTGTGAGGCAGCAGGCCCCACACCTCCACCCGGCGACCCAGCAGGCCGTCCTGTGAGGGCCGGTAGCTGACGCTGTCGCCGCACGGGAGGCACGAGCCCTTGGCCGACCTGCAGACGGAGCACCTGATGGCGTAGCTCAGGTCTTTCCTGCCGCCGCTGTCCACGGGCTCGTTCCACTTCAGAGTGAGCATGGTGTCGTTGATCCAAGGGTCGAGGTTGCGTGGAGCCGAGGGAGGTTCTATGGGGATGGCGAAAGTCACATTTAATTTAAGTGATCAGAAGCATAAGTCTGTTCAAAACAAGTTAATCTGTTGCTTTAAATGTTTCTTTTTTTACTTTACGCCAGCATTGCAGAGTGTTTTATACATGAAAGTCATTAAAGCCAATGCTGCAGAGGATAATTACTTTTTTTAACAAGTATGTCTCTTAGAAATACTTGAGTAGTTATTCTCCAGGTATCCCATTTTCTCGCAAAACAATAAAATCCTTTAAGTATCACTCGACGCCAATGCAAGCAGAGTACATACGTGTTCTGTGAAGTGTCATTTTGCTGCTGCGTTACCTTTTTCCAGCCAGGGAAACCACTTATTTACAATTTTACATAAAATTGAAGACATTTTGTTCAGTTTCTCAGCAGAACAGAGCTCCTGCAGCACCTTTGCCTCACAGAAGGAGCAGCACGTGTCACAGAATTCAACTGGCACAATTACATTCATCTAAAAAGAGGACGGTAATGATCATCATCTGAAAACTGTAAGAAGAGAGCTATCACCTCAAGCCAAGCATAACTAAACAGACAGACCACTCGGGCACTGTAAATCAGTATCACTTCCTGCCAAGGAGACAGAACTTTGTCACCGAGCCTGCGGGTAATTTCAGTGCTAATGGTGTTCTCATTGGAAACTCAAGTGGGACAACATCACACTCAATCAGAGTTCATGCTAATGCCGAGTTCAACAACACAGAATGGGATCCCCCCCACCCCTTCTTTTAAGTAATCAGAGCTCACTTTATTGATACAGCTAAAGCAGTCACATTAGTAGAAAACACTTATTTTCTGGGGTGGGGAAGAGGACGGTTTTCAAAATATCCAGATGGCTTGGTAGACTGGAAATTTTGCATACAAATTGAAAACATGTAATGTGAAGATTTGCATTGGCAATCAAGAACAAAAACAGAATATATAATTAAAAACAGCAAATTAAAAGATAAATAATTAAGATAAAGCCTCTGCAATTAAAGTTATCACTAGTAATAATAATAAACTGGTGGATGCTTCTTCTTGTTTGTATTTAGCTCACGCCCGTGGAGGGCAGAGCGAGTCAAAAACCTAATGCTGATCTTCACATTGTTTCACAAACCCTTTTTGTGGACATTCCAAGAGAGGGCGCCTAATTAAAAGGTGCCTCCCATTCACACATCAGAAATGCTTCTGAATTGAAATTCCTGAATGCTCATGGAGGTGTCACTTGAGACTTTCAATACTTTGGTTGGAGAGAGAACCCTGCCCCCAGCAACCTGTCACAAAAACACGCATCTCAAAGCAGTGGGACAAAGAACACAAAGAAGCTTGKGGACTCCTGACTACATACCACCAGAGAAGAAGAGAAATAACACCAGATGTCTAAAGAAACTAAGCGAGGAAGAGCAGAAGTTAAACTGTGAGACTTGAGTGACTGGATGGTCGCTTAGCTCCACCAAGTTGCTGTAACTTACTGGTGCACGGGGTCTCTGGGGTGTCTGATCCAGCACGCAGGAACTCGGGGCGACACGCGCACACCGACGCCCCCCTGGTGGTGGCCTGGCTGGATGCTGGGCAGGTCCTGCACTGYCCCTCCGTGCCCGACTTGAACTGACCTGCAGGGCAGGCTGAAGATGACAGAGCAGGAAATGAAAAGAGAGAAAATGATACTTTTATGCAAAACTGTCCCGCTTCTCTCGTCAGCAGAGCTGGGTCAAACCCATTTTGCAAATACAGACGTTTTGTTTTGTGCTAAGGTGGCAGATGGTCTTAGACTGATGAACAGAATTATGTAATGAGAGCTATAAATTGAGAGATAATCACAGTAATGAGGCTGATACGAATAGTCAATTTAGAGAAAATAACCTGGCTGTCACTGACATCTGCCCATCAATGGAGTTACCTGCTACATTTCTGAACAATAACATCAGATCCTTGAAAGTCTCTGCAAAAAACCCCACATTTTATGGCACCTAAAATGTTAAATGGGGAGTATAACATATGTTCCAGGTACATTGTTCAATTCTATACCACAATCAAGTAACTATGTTACCTTCAGTTGTTATRAGAAAGCTGTATATGAGTCTGAACTGATAATTAGATAAGCTGAGTGATCAATTAGCTGTTTAACAGTAAAACAGTTTGAAACAAATGAGTCAAATCAAATCAAATGTTTCTAAATTAACAAGGAGATTGTTCTATTTCCATTTTAAATTAATACCTCTTTTGGAGACTAAATCGTTCAGCTTCAGCTGCTCTCCTCTGCAGGGTTTATCAAAGTGAGCTATTTGACAACTGTTTTACGACGGATGCTCTTATTGACGCAACCTGGCCTCGAACCCACAGCCTCAAAACGATCAGACCACCAACCTACTGCAGCCCTCTTCACACTCAACAGAATAAATTCAGGATAATAGCCAGTAGCTGTAGCCAGAGTCTGAACCTATGCTCCAGACAGCTCCGTATTTAAACCACCGACTGTATCACAACATGTGAACATGTCACTGTGACGCCACATCCAGTCCAAATGTTTACATTCTGTGCTTCAGAGTGGCAGCTGAAGCTCAGCTGCTGAGACAGAAAGATTAAAACAATAAACACCAATTGTCACATTGTTATAGTCCGAACCGACACACTTCTCAGGGTCGACACTCCTCTGACTGACATTCTGCTGCAGGAATTTCCCACATATGAGAGCAATTACTGATGTGTGGGAGTGTGGCTGCAGCGAGTTATTAGTTAAGACAGTTAATTAGGACAATATCGAGGTCGTAGCTTAAGTGTTTTTGAGGTCTTTTTTTTGATGTAAGGAATCAAAACGAACACTTCCTGGTTCACATGTGGCCTATATTAATCATCGCGTAACATTTCAGAACATTCAACAAGTTTAATAACATATATGAATATTCTAAAGCTTATCGCAAGCAGAAAAAAAACATTTAATTAATTTTCTGTCAGTGAATTCACTGAAGTAAATTAGGACTAAAGCACAAAACATCTTGGAGTAAAAGTTATAAATTTAGGAAAACCTAAATCAAAAGTTCAGATGTATTGTATTGTTCAGATGTTTGTAGAAAAATATAAAAATGAAGAGCATTTGATCTTATTTATAAAGATGATACAGTGATTTCTTTTAAGCTAGATTTTGCACAAATATATAGGTTCAAATATTTATTTTAACCTATCTATGAGTTTATCTTAAAATATAAAGACTTAAAAAGACTGTCAGAGCTTTTAATTGTTTTAAAAAGGCTGAGGCAAATCTTTTTAAAACAATTACCAACATAGAAATACAGCCCTGTAATATTGCTCTGCCTGTGATTTTGAAAATGTTTTATGTTGAACATAACCTCAAACTTACAACTCAAAAAAAAAAAGACATTTATAAAATGTATTCTTGCTCTTAAAGAACAAATGGAATTGGTAGATCAGAGTTTTACATGAATCATAACCTRGAAAACTACGGTTCTTGCATCTTTAATAGATCCACCAGCCATTAGAGACCCATATTGAACACAGCCAAAGGTATATGTTAAAGATGTAGTTTAAATACTTTAATGAACTCATTTATTACACTAAATCCTCTTGACAGCATTCATGAGTTTTACATCAAAAGGGTGCAGTCGAGTCTGAAAACATACATACGCTCTCGGAGAGATAATAGCGTAACAGCAAAATGAATTTAATTCTAAACCTAGATGTCAATTTCATTTCCTGAAATGACCGGCGTATGAGGCAAATTAACAGCCCGATCTCACCATGAAGGCAATTTCCCTTTATGGCCTAGCGAGTGTTTTTCCTCACAGCTCTCCTCRGTGACAGAATGCTGGAAATGGCACTTCACCAGAAGCATAATGTTAGAAGCTACCAGTATTCTTTTTTTTTTAATGAAATCATTATACCTCCCACAGAGATCAAACTGAATCTTGCTTTCAAACGCAGACAGCTAAAAGCACACTTTTTCTGGAGAAAACGTGGCATTCCTTCATGTGTTTCTTTGTTCGTTGTGCCGAGCATTTGTCTGTGGTGGTGTGATGTGCTAAGYGTGTGTGTGTGTAAGTGCGTGCACACTGGGAGTGTTTGTGCACGAGGCATGTTAATTGGACTCATTAGACAGAGCTGCAGCACAGCTCCTCAGAGAATCATTCTGCTTCTTCTTTCTTTTCTTGTGTGCTTTGCTTTGATGTTCTCAAACTGATACAATCTTTACCCGGAGCACCACCTCCCTGCGTCGCTCCCCTCACCTCTCCAGTCCTCCTTTTTCTCCCATCTCAGCTGAACTGTGAGCTGCAGTGGTAAGCCTTTGACCTCGCTCTTCCTTTTTGATATAAGAGCTTCTCCAGCTGACCTTTGCCTCCGTCCCCACTGTGTCACCGCCGTTCCCCTGCCTCATTAACTTCCTCTGTCTCTCATTTCCTCTGAAACTCTTCAACCCTCCATGAACCTCCACCCTCATCTTATTGTTTTCTTGTTTAGTCTGCCAGCTCTGCTGCCTATGTAGGCGTACAACATATGTGAATTCATTTARGTGGCTTAAATAGGGTCCTGTCTTACCTGTGCAACGTGTCTGTCCCTCCGCTGGTTCAAACCCAGGAAGGCAGGCACAGGAAGTCGTTGGCTGCCCCACCCACTGGCCGTCTTCGCCGCAGAAGAGCTTAGGCGTCCGAGATCGGGACCCCTGCTGAGCGGCGTGCTCCACGCAGGAACCCTGTGCCTCCTGCACCAGATAACGGGGGACGGTCTCGGGGAAAGATGAGAGCGCGCTGACCAGAGGGGGACATTTCTTGAAAAACACCCGCACAGACAGAAGGGCCATGCAGGCACCCTGCGACTGGAAGGCCAAGTAGAAACCTCTCATGCTCAGAGGGCCGAGTCTAAGTGTCTTCACGTTGAATTTTCTCTCCCCGCCCTTCCTCAGTAGGAAGTCTGCAGCCACTGTGTCCACCTAGGGCAGGAAGAAAGAGAAAACGTTTTGTGTAAATCCAGCACGCCGATCTGAGGCTTGAAAACAACCAGTGGAAGCTTTGAATAGGTCGCCCTGTTCAACCGGCTATGTAGACATTGTGAACGCTTTAAATTATTGACAATTTTCCAAAGCAGTCCACTCACAGTTTAGACTCATTCACTGCATTCCTAGCTCCTTTAAATTACTTTAAGTAGCATCACAGAGGCTGTTTAGGGACTAAAATCAAGGCGCAKGGTCTAAATTAACCCAAAACTTTGTTGTATTCTAGGTTTGGCCAAAATCAAAGTTTAAAAATTGTACACTGAAAATCAAAACACTCATAAAATAAAGGCCAAGCACTCCTCTCCATTCATGCCAGAATTTTTAGTTTCTCTTATTATGATATTATTATTAGAAGAGACAAAGTTGTGTAAAACTTTGTAAAATGACATCATGCACAGTCTCATGCAAATGTATAAATAAATTAAACTTATTCCAGGAGTTTGAGACATTTTGTCAAATTCAGAAGACACAGTCAAGAAAAGATAGCTGATTCTGTCAGAAAATTAATTTAAAACAGACTTTGCATCCATATTATATTGCATTAATTTGAATAAAGAATATAATCGATGTCTTCAGTAATAAATTGTATAACAACATGCAACTTTGCCTGTGAAATGTGTAATGAGAGTAAACCTTTGGTTTTAGCATATTGGAATGAAAAAAAAGAAACTATTTTAAAACATGTTTTCTGCAAAAGTCTTGGTAATTATTCACAATCCTCATGCTGTCTATCAGGCTACAAAAGTAGAAAATAGTTTTAAAGATGTGTGAACTTGTAGGCTGTGTGAACTTGTAGGCTGTCTAAATGTAGAAGAATGTATATTTCATCAAAGTAACAAAAAAATAATAAATCCAAAAAAAAAAGTTTATTAGCAGCTGGAATACTTATTTTTGTTCAGGATGATTAGAGAGAGTTAAAATGTAAAATGTAACTTCTCATCTTTTGGCCTACAGTTAGAATAAGACATTCAGGTTTTAAAATTTAATAACTTCTCTTTGGTTAAGCCTTTGCTGTTTGGCAAGTTATTTCTTCCACACAAGCTTTGAGGTAAAAATATTAAGTTTGAAGTACATTTGAGAGAAAAGTAGAGACAGAAAAAATGTTTTTATTGATTTGATTGTGATGGATGGTTTCACTCTTATCACATGAAAAATCTAATATTTCATGATTGCAAAGCTAAAGGTTTTTTTTTGTTCATTTTCTTTAAAATAAAAAATTAAATGACTTTCACAGCTGTTTCATTTGAAAAATAACTATTAAAATATTGACGTTGGCTCTATTGATTCAACATATAATGGGGCAGTAATTGGATCTCCTGAAACAAATAAGGAAAAAAAGTCTTTTGAGGTTAGAGGAGTGTGTAAAATGTAAACTTAAAACAAAAACTGGAGCATGTGTGTGAGTGTACCTTAGTGTAGGGGTTCTCCATCCAGGGTGGGAAGGTGGCTGTGGCCTCATTAGAGTTGGCCTGGTAGTAGTAGAGGTTAAAGGTTTCCTTACAGCTGCGGTGGTGCGTGCTCCTGGAGGAACACTCCATCATGGTGAATCGCAGCTCCACGTAGACCTGAGTCGCCCCTCGTCTCTGGATGAAGCCACTGCGCAGCCACTGGCTCGACGAGCTCTCCGTCTGGCAGATCTGAAAGGTCCTCACGCTGTCTTTCTCCTCGTCTAAACCGCTTACTTCCTCCCACTGAGACTGAAGAGAACAAAGGGTTGTCAAAACCGCCCGTATAACAGACATCTTACCCTGAATAGTTTTAATTCACCTGTAAGAGACAACCACTAAGGTGCTTATGTAACTTCCTACACTTATGAGTCATAACACCGTTGCAGTTCTTTGTTGTTACTTTTATTTTCCTGTGTGCAGAGTCATGGGACAATTTTTGGCTTTTGGTGGATTTTGATCCTGCTTAAACTTGAAATCGAGTTGTTAAATCATTCCTCCCACTGGGTCGCAGCACAGCTACTGGGAATCCAAGTCTCACTTGTCAAACAAGGCACACGACTCGACACAGCATCCAAGATGAAACTTTCACCCCTCAAACACACAGACTAAAATGCTATCACAAATCTTCATGAGGCAAAAACTTGTCTCAGAAATGTACATTTGCTCTGAAGCCAAAAACAACTGGAAAAAAAAAAAACAAAAAAAAAATGAAAGCGCTTTAATGTTGGACTGCTGAGACGACAGTAAACATGTTCGCCACCACAGTGTTCCCAAGAGCAGGAATCAAGGAAGAAATTAACATACTTTGGACAAAATTTAGCAGATTTGCTGAAGTTGAGGCTCAGAAATTCAGTTATGTAAATATGTAAATCTTTGAAAATCCATTTGCACATGATTTGTGGAGAGAGGCAGGATACTGGATTGGGTGAATTACGGAAAGCGAAGCACACAGAGCCGGGTCTGAAACACTTAAAGGAAGAAAGTCCCTCATAATCGAAGCAAACAAACATAAACACACAGCTTTATCTGTGAATTAACAAGTTTTCAGTGATGGGAGATGAAAACTTATGCACGCACCTTGAGCTGCATTTTTGTTGGAATTTCAGGAAGCAAGAAAACGCAAAAATATTCACTTTTTTCACAACATGAAAATAAACTACTATAAACGCAGACACACACTGTTCACCACGTTAAAAATTCCTTCGACTTTCAGCTGTAAACACACTGACAGGCTGCAAGTTGAAACCTGGTGATTTCATTAAAATTATGGTTGTTGTCATGTTTTTACACCAGAGGGTTCTTAAGAAACGCTATATTTATTTAACATGAATTATTAATGAAACTATAAATAAATTTTATAGATATTCCAATAGTTTTGGAACAAAAAAGCCAAACTGATGTATCAGGATGTCAGAAGCAACGAAGAATCAATATCCTTTAATACTAAAAATAAAGAACCAGATGGTAGCTCTTTTCTGTCTTGTGTTTTCTTGAGGCAGACAACTCTTGGCGTCTTTCCACCGTGACTTGTCATCAGTGACTAAATTACTGTTTGTAGTCTTTTATGTTGAGAGGGGAGGGGACAACAACCACCTAGCCACATTTCTGACAACGCAAAGCTTTTGATAAGCGACTTCAAATGATAATGGCTGAGCTTAGTATTTCAAGGATGTCAGCGTCACTTGCTTTACATCTCAATCAAAACCGCAAACACATTCTGTCTGCCCGGCCCCAGAAATCTGCCCTCCCGGCATCCACGGTGACTGTTTTTCTTCAGAGACATCAGCGAGCGGAGCAGTTCTGATCACCAACGCTGCTGGCAGAAATACCACAGCAACCACTCTTCAGCTGATCGAATTACAAATATGTCTTTTTCTGGCAGCGGAAACCAAAATTGTGGGCAGCTAGTCACTGTGACTCCAATGTTGATGGGATATATCGAAGCATCTGCTTTCAATATACTTAAATGGCACAGTCAGTTTGGTGTTTTCTTTATGCTGTCAGTTGCTTGCCATATAAGGGTTTTGTTTATGAGCAAAGCAACAAAGAAAGAGCTGAAGGCCACAGATCTGCAGTCATCACTAGATTTGTGTTTGGAGTATAGATAAAGTGACGCAGGGGTTACATACCTCTGATCTGTCCTGGGAGAAGATGGTCCATTTAAGATCAGATGTTTCTGTTTTAGTGTTCATCAGGACCTCTGTGAAAAAGAATAAAATGAAAAACATGAAACCCTAGGCAGAGGGAAATGAGCAAAAGACGTTTTAAAGCTCATTTACATTCAGAGAAACAAATCAAAATGACAGAAGGAACATATTTCAAGTCCCAAGTCCACTGCCAAGTATGAGCCATGGCTTATACTGGGATTAGAGTGGAAGATGGAGTTTCACCAGTCAATTACATCCACACAGAATGTTTCCACTACTCCTCGAAATGGTCTTTCCTGCAATGTTTGTTTTTATTCCCCAGCGTCCTCTCTGCTCGCAGCGACGTGCCCTGCCTGTGGTCACGCCGAACCTGATGAGAGGAGCCTGCTTCTGTCCGGGGTGACAGCTGCAGAATCGACCACATGGACACGGACACACACACGTATACACGCTTACACATGCCAAGATTTAAGCCCTTCCGGTCACAATCTATGATTACAATAGGATTGATTTTTTGTTAGCTTTTGAGAAGCAGCCTGGCCTGCTCACAAAACAACCGGAGCAGTTCTGCAAGATTCAGTATTCGAATAAAAACCCAAACCATGTGTAACATGAGACACGCTTTGGTTCAAGTGAAGGGATTTCTTTTCATCTGTTTTGTTTTTGCCTAGCTATTTCATATTTATACTGATGGGATGATGCTTCTGTCACAGGCTGGCTTTTTAAATCCTACCTGTTCCCYGAAGAAGCCTATTTCAAGGGTTGGGAGGTTTGCTTTTACCAATAAACAAGATTTAATGTGGTCCTGATCAAGGAGAGCGCCTTCATGAAAATTGATTCTGGTTGGAGCTAGGGGGGTGTCACTGCAGGGTTATCACTGAGGTTATTAGCGTGCTTTGTTGAATAAGCTACGTATATAAGACCTGACAGGTAAGTCAGCATCCCATAATCCCACAACACGCAACATTGCTATCATAAAACATCTTCTGCTGTAAAGAAAAATATAATTTCTACAGGATTTTGGCTTAATAAAGCAAACAGAAATTCATTTTAATCAAACAGATTTTAACAGTGCTTTACATAAAGAATAAACTTTGTCTAAAATAAACAGAAAACTATTTCTAAAACTGCTACATTGTTGGATATCCTGATTTACTTAAATAGGCATTGCTATTTGGGCTTTGGCTTACAGTGGTGAGCATTTTTTTATAAGACAAATTAAACAATAATAAAAGAAAATCATTAGCTTGCAGCCAACAGGGGAAAAAAAGCCTCTTTACATCTGAAATATTTTTCATGCCATCTACAGATTGATGACCATGACTGTCAATGTGATAAACTCTGCTGTCAAAATCATTAATTCATGATTACTGTGTAAGCTGGAGATATACAGTACTCATACAGTGTTAGAATACATTTTACACATCACTGCTCTGCAATATTACTTTAGTATTTTACACACACAAGAAAAAAAAAGAGACGGGGGAATGCCTACACTTTATTTCTGTGCTCCTATGTGACACGAGAAGTCACATTCAGCTCTGAAACACAAATAAAACACACATGAATGCACACACATAAAAAAACCCTTAGATGAAGTAGAAAGTGACCCGTGCTTCCCGCGGAGATAAATGTGGCAGTTAAAGCTACAGCTGGCCTGACACAGATGCTGCTTTACTCTGATGAACATAACTGCCGGTTAAAGATCAAGCACAGATAACGTCCTGAGTGAGGGAACTTCGCCTTCGGGGCTGAAATCAACACCAATAAAACGGCATATTTGAATATTAAAACTGTGCCTTTTTTGACTGAAGGGGAATCCAGCTTTTCCTGTTCCTTTACAGTTTTATTAAGAAAAATTTAGATCTTAATTTCCATGAAGATAACGACAGAGTAACACAATTATTGCGTCTAATTTGTTTAAAACGGGATATATAATTGCARCATGAAAATACTCTCAGAACCGCCTACCAGAAAAAAAACAACAGATGCTCATAGAAAAAGAATGAATCTGACTCATTCCCATTTGTTTTCTTTTCCCTTATTTTTCAACCCTTTTCCTACATCAACATAGGGCACTTTTAGTCCTTAAAAACTGAAAATTTTGAGGGACACGCTTAAAAACAAAGGAGCATGATCTGTGCTTGCATTCAAACCTACAATACTGGCCTGTTTAAAATGTTTTAAAAACATTGTAATGTTTAGGCTAATGCAGTCTGATGTATCGTCATTGGACCAATTCTAAAGGTCTAATCTGATGTATACCAATGGATTATGTTTGATATTGTCAATTTAAACAAGCTTAAAATGGTTGAAAATAGCATATTTTGCATTGAGATAATTATATTCTTTAACAAAATCAATGTATGTTTAGTGCTATTGTAATTCTTTCTAACAAACAAATTATATAAAGTTTGGTGCAGGCTTGAAAACTAGTCTTTCACTCCATTTATAGGCATTATATTGTTATGTCTGTTTATGTAAAAATAATCTATGGCTTTTTAAAGAAGTATCTCATCTAGTCTAGTTTGACCACTACTCTTTACAACTTCAGATTAACAGACATGGGGTAGGCATGAGCCATGCCTCTATGTCTACACTACACAGCCAAGTGACTTACACCTTCATTCCAGCATTTCACCTCAGACATTTTTTCGTTCTCATCATGTGGGTGAGCTGTCTGTTGCACACTGCGAATGAAAGCAATGACATGGAGTCACTAATCATCAGGGCTGCATATGCTGCAAGTCTGTCATTGCATCACACTGTGAGGTAAAACGGTACATGTGATGTGACTCTAATCACCGACTTCTTCCTCTGCTTTACCTGCTTTTCTCATTTTACTCTCCTTGTGGGTTTTCCTTGCAAAGAAACACCACCACACATGCCTCTARGCCCCTTTCACTTCAAAACCGCAGATGCCCACAAGCTTAATAAGAACCGTCTAAGATGAAGAATGGAAATTCTGCAAAAAGCAACAAAAAGAGAGGAAAGAAGATAATAGGGTGAAAGAGTTTAGTCCGGGGCTTTCCTGACATTTAGTCTACTTCGAGTTCACTACGGCATATTTTTTTAAAAACAGCTTCAGCACCTGACTGAGCCGACTACCCCGGTCTTTGCCTTTGAGATGCACACCTGCCTCTGTGTTCATAAGCTGATTAAGGTGTGGAAAGGAAACATCCCCCCTCCCAGGTACAGTAATCACTGTTTATCACTGCTCTATCATTAAGCTTTATGAGGCAGGATGCGTGAGCGCAGTGTTTATATGAGACAGCGAGGGCTTCTATTATGTGCTTGCATGGCCATGCCTTTCACTGAACCAAACAGGGTCTCAAGTCCTGTTAGAGGAAGCCGGCTTTTCCCCTACATTCTTTCAGAAGCGATGGCCACCCACCGCCGGAAATCTGTCCTGAGTGCTAGAAAATGTTGGAACAATGAAGATTCGTCATCTGGCTGTRTTTAACACCCAAAACAAACGATTGTAAAGTAATTACAGGACAGCTGTCAACATTAGGAGACACTAGAGAAATCTAAACTGATACAGGGACTGGCAGGGTGACTGCCTCTGAACAGTAGAATTACAATAAAGAAAAGAAAGAAGGAAAAAAAAACACTACACACAGGCTAAGCCAAATTTACTGAAGTTGAGAAACTGAGAAGGTGGTGGTTTGGGAGATCAGGGCTGGCCAAGCACAGATTTATTTTAATCATCAAAACGTGAGAAAAACAAAAGAGAAAAAGGTATTAATTTCCTTTATAAGGAGGAGACCAAAAAGAAACAGTGGGTGTTAAACACAATWTCTTTAAGTAATGTAAAACCTAACCAATTTAAGGAGAATCTTTTCCTTTTTTTWAAATAACGTTCACTGTTCTTGACTTGTGTTAATTTCTTCTCGACATGCTCTCTCCCTCCCCATYTCCTACTTTCTCTGTGGCTCTGGAGTGTGATAGGGAAATTATAGACCTATGAACATTTGGCCTGCTTCAGCTACAATTAGACCTTATTTTAATTAAAGAAACAGAGTGCCAATTACCCTCATGCACCTAGAAAAATGGAGATGGGGGAATAATGACAGAGAGGAATTCAAGAAGGGGAAGAGATGTCACAGGATATGGGATTAACAGATAACAAATGTTAAAAAACTAAACGAGCAATCAGTGTCTTTTCCAACATTAAAGCCACACTCAATGAGCCAKTTCACTCTCAGCAGAATACTCTGGCAAGTAACACAAAGCCAGGGTCCTATTATAATGTAGAACCTCTGCTCTTTATTTCTGTAATACTTTTATCC